GCCCCTCATAGTTATACACTCCTGTTTGTCCTGCATTTCCTCAGTGTGAAGGTTGCCCCTCTGGTGTCCCATGGTCTATTGCTCCAAGGGATATATTTCCATAGAGTATGTGGGTGCATCACCCTGAGTTGAGTGGTCTGCAGGTACATCTTTTTAACTCTTGGGCTGAGAGCCAGCCCTTGGGAGTGAGCTTTATTCCAGGCCCAGAATGTAAGAATAATAATTAAAAATCTTTTAGAGATCAAGATTAAAAGGCCTATCTTGTATAGATAACCTTTCTTTAAACCTTAAAAACATTTTAAAAAATTATTATTATAAAAGAAATGCATGGGTGTCACAAAAATATTAGAAGATACAGAAAATAAAGAGAAAAATAATTACTGGAATCCAGCCATGTGGAGAAACTCATTGTTAACATTCTGGTGTATGTATTTCCAGATGTTCTGAGAATGGCTTAGCTTATACTTAGTTCAGTAAAGGCATTTAAAATCTGTTTATTATACTCAGAGTCACAGAAACACTCTCATAGTTAAGCTACGTATGAATTTGGGTGGTTTCCATTCTCGGCTGTCCACTAAGGATTCTCAAACACAGGCTGAGGGATCACGGAGGAGTCTGGAAGTGGTGGATTATAGGGAGGGTTCAGGGCTTGGATAGACCTTGGCCCGAGTGCCCTCTCTGCCACTAGCTGTGTAGCTGGAAAAGTTATTTACCTCTCTGCATCTTCATCATCAGTAAACCACCTCATGGGGTGATGTAAAGGATTAATTGAATTATGTAGGATGCTTCACACATCGCCCAAGCTAAAGTAATCTGCATTCTGATGCAATGCAGAGAAAATGACGTAACTCTAACAGTGTAACTGACTGCTGGAAACAAATAGGAAGTTCAGGAAAGTCCTAAGAAGATGCCAATAAACCAAGTGGGGTCCTCCAAAGCAGCTGGCAGCTGTATGCATGGTCTCTATTCTTGTCCACTATACTTTTTCAGGGCAGAGGGTCCACCAGCTGGAAGTAGAGGAGGAAACTGCCTCCCAGATGTGAGGTAGTGGCAAAAAAAATTGAAGGAAAATTAAACTTGAGGAGAGGAAGGTGCTATGTGTGCCTGAGATCTGTGCTAGGCTCAGCTGTCCAATTTGAGATCTGTCTTTGCCTTTTTCCTTGGTGATCAAAAAGATCTTGTTTGATGTGACGTTTCCTCTGAGTTTAACTCCTGTCTGACATTTTCAATTGCCCCAGCCCCCTGCCCAGTTCTGGTAATGTACACTTAAATAACTAAAAGAGTAATCCATAGAGATATTAAGGAGCTCTGGGGGCACTGTGAGGTAAGGCTTTTGGCTGCTAACCAAAAATGTAAGGTAAGGCTTTTGGCTGCTAACCAAAAGGTCAGTGGATCGAACCCATCAGTCGCTCTATGGTAGAAAGACGAGACAGTCTGCTTGTGCAAAGATTTACAGCCATGGAAACCCTATGGGATTCACTATGAGTTGAAATGGACTGGATGGTAGTGGGTTTGATTTGGGGTTTATAGAGATATTAAGTTTTATTTTAATTAAAATTCAGATGCCTTTTAAGACAGAAATCATGGTATAACTACATTTCCCTCTACAATTTAATTCTTTAAGAAATAAAAACATGACTAATAAATGCCTGGTAGAAGGACCTTTTTTTTTTTTAAAAAAAAAAGGGATGTGATGGTTAATTTTTGTGTCAACTTGGCTATATCATGGTACCCAGCTGTTTAGTCAAGCACTAGTTTAGATGTTGCCATGCACAAACGGTTAAGCACTCAACTACCAACTGAAAAGTTCAAATGCACCCAGAGGTGCCTTGGAAGAAAGCCCCGAGGATCTGCTTCCAAAACTGTGGAGCTGAAGCGCAGCTGAAGCTGAAAACTGTGGAGCTGGAGCACAGTTCTACTCTGCACAAATGGGGTTGCCATGAGTTGGAACTATGGCAACTATTTTGAGTTTTTTTGATGAAGGTATTTACATATGATTAATGCCTAAATCAAAGAGCTCTGGTGGCATAGTGCCTAAGGCAGTTGACTGCTAACCAGAAGGTTAGTGGCTCAAACCCACCAGCTACTCCACGGAAGGAAGACTGGGCTATCAACTTCTATAAGAATTTACGGAAACACAGAGGGGGTTGCTGTGAGTTGGAATCAACTCGATGGCAGTAAGTTTGGTTTTTTAAAAATGCTTAAATCAGTTGAGCTTAAGTAAAGCAGATCACACTCTATAACATGGGTAGGACTCATTCATTCAGTTGGAAGCCATAAGGGCAAAAACTGAAGTTTCTGATGGAGGAAGATTCTGCCTCAAACAGTAAGATAGCTATCTTTTCTGCATTTCTAGTCTGCTGTCTGTCCTGTGGATTTTGAACTCAACACTGCTGGCATTTCCAGACTCTTGTCTGACCTATGGATTTTGGACTTGCCAGCCCCCACAATTTCATTGTTGTTGTTGTTGTTGTTATTTGCCGTTGAGTCGGCCTTGACAATTTCATTAGCCAATTTAAAAAAATCTCTCTCTCTCTTCATATACACATATATATTACTGATTCTGTTTCTCTTAAGAACCCTGACTAATACAAGGGGTCATACATTTTAGGATATGTCTTGGGGTTTTGTAGATTCCCTCATTTCTATTCCTCCTATAGTCACAGAAAAGTAAAGTTCACGGTGATAAATGTCCCAATCAAAAAGTTGGATATATATACTGTACTAAGTAAGGATGGGCAATGAATCAATATATTTTATAAAGATTTTTCAACAAAATTGTTAACACCAAAAATTTTTTAAATTAACCTTTACTTTATTGATCCAGGACAGCCAAATCCTCATGAGACTCCATTATAATATTTACATTTAAATACATTGCTCTCAGGAGTACATTTTTAAAAAGGGAAGGGAAGCAACAGTACCAACAACCAAAAAAAAAAAAAAGTTATATATGCATGTATATATGCAAATATGTGTATACATATATATGTGTGTGTGTACATATGTATAACATATAGATATATCTGTATGTATATTACATACAGATATGTGTGTACATGTACATATATTAATATATATAATATATATAATTATTACTTGGTTCTACAATCAATGCCAACGGACGCAGCAGTCAAGATATCAAAAGATGTATTGTATAGGGCAAATCTGTTGCAAAAGACCTCTTTCAAGTGCTGAAGAGCAAAGATAACTCCTTGGAGACTAAGACGTGCCTAACTCAAGCCATGGTATTTTCAGTTGCCTCATGTGCATGTGAGAGCTGGACAATGAATAAGGAAGACTGAAGAAGAGTTGATGATTTGAGTTGTGGTGTTGGCAAAGAATGCTGAAAGTACCGTGGACTACTAAAAGAACTAACAAATCTGTCCCATAAGAAGTGCAGCCGGAATGCTCCTTGTAAGCAAAATGGCCAGACTTCATCTCACCTACTTTGGTTATGTTGTCAGAAGGGACCATTCTCTGGAGAAGGATGTCATGTTTGGTAAAGTGGAGGGTCAACGAAGGAAGGGAAGGCCCTCAATGAGATGGATTGACACAGTGGCTGCAGCGATGGGCTCAGGTAAAGTAGGGATCATGAGGTTGGCACAGGACCAGGCAGTGTTTGGTTCTGTTATACATAAGGTCACTATGAGTCGGAGACAACTTGATGGCACGCAACAATAACAACATACAATAAACCACACAGAGGACACAGTTATGGCTACTTATTAGACATAACCAAACACCTTATGAGTTTGGTTTTCTGGGTTTGCAAGCTTAGGACTCATAATTATCTTGTGGACAACTTGGTCAATTGACATAGTAGTTCATAAAGTTTATATTCTACATCCTAGTTTGGTGAGCAGTGTCTGAGGTCTTATAAGCTTGCGTATGGCTATTTAAATACGACAGTTGTCTCTACTTGTCTAGGACAAAAGAGGAAGAAGGAAACCAAACACTTGGAGGAGAAACTAGTTTGCAGGACGAATAGTCTACCTTACCACAGCCTCATCTACCCAAGACTAGAAGAACTAGATATTGCCTGGCTACCACTACCAACCATTCTGAGCAGGACCACAATAGATGGAAACTGACAGAATGGAAGAAAAATGTGGAACAGCACTCAAATTCTTATGAAGTCCAGATTTACTGGACCTGTTGAGGCTGGAAGACTGCCTAAGACTATCACCCTGAAATACCTTTTAAACCTTGAACTGAAACTAGCCCCTGATGTTACCTTTTAACTAAGTAACAGAGAGGCTCGTAACATTTTTTAAAAATGTTCTGTTAGTACTGTGCTCCTTTAAAAAATCATCTCTATGAGATGAAATGGTAGCAATTGCCCTGAAGTGAAGATGAGAAAACAAAGGAGTAGGGAAACTAGATGACTGGAAAAGGAACAACCAGAACACAATTAATGACAATGTTGACACATTGCAAAAAATATAATCAATGTCACTGAACACCTTTGTGTAAAAATTATTAAATGGGAACCTAATCACTGAAAACCCAATAAAATATATAAAGAATAAAAACTGAACAAAAGACAGAGGGAAAAATAAAGTAGAATGCTGAATTTTGTCACTGTGCCTTCAAAATGTAACAAGGAAATATAAATTCATCTCTTCAATCATAAAGTTAAACCTAGAAAAGAAGTAACAGAGAATGTGGGAAAGAAATCTATAGCTCTTGCCAATGATAGTTTATATTCAACATACAGAATTTAAAGTCTGAGAAATATTAGTCTAGATGTTACGAGATGGAAATTTCCCTACAGACATTTGTCAAAATTTAAACCTCACATTTTAGCTATGTTACAGTCTGTGAATTCTGCAGTTCCAGTCAACCTTCTGGGGAAAATACTTATAATGGAAACAAACTAGTCACAAGGTCTAGTGGGAATGGGATATTTCCAAGAAACTGAATGTCTGGAGAATATCTGTAGTATCTGAGTTGTTTTACTTTTTCTATCTTGTTTATAAATATACCAGTGTACTGACCTGTAAGATGTAAAGTATGACGGCTGTCAATCCAACCCAGCTGTGCAGACTGTACATATTGGGGATATTCCCAGCATTGTGGAAATCAAAAACAGCCACCAGAGCAATAATTGCAAGAATGGCAGCAACAGAGTTTAAGCCTGCGTGAATGGACTTCATCAGGAGCTTGCTGCATTTCCAGGTCCATGGCAGTCTGTACACGATGATCGCTAAGGAGAGATGAAAGAGGACAGAATATGTTAAACACACACACACAAACACACACACAAGAGAGTTTGACACACTGGACACTCCCTTTTGTGAAGCCTTTTCTCTTGGCTTTTGCTTCTCTCCACTTCCTTGTGTTACTCCTGCATCTCCAGGGGCTCCTTCTGGGGCTCTTTTGCTGGCATCTTCTTCACTTATAATATGCTAATGTGTGTATCCCTCAGGTTCATTTTCACAGCTTTTGCTCCCTCTGCATTCTCTGTGACAGTTATCTCCTTCACTGTCCACTGAAATGCTGTCTACATGGCAGGGACTCCAACACTTCCTGTCAAACTCCAGACCCACAGACCTAATTGCTTTCTTGACATTGCCATATAGATGTCTCCCAAATCTCTCGAACTTAATACATCCAAAACTAAATTCTTGACCTTATGGTCTGGTTTATACTTTTTGTCTCCTTTCTTCTTAAAAACATGTTAGTTGTATAAGAAAAAGACTAACAACAGAAATATATGCAAAAGACTCAGACAATTCACAAAGAACTATACCCTAGTGGCCAATAAACATAAGAAAGGTGATCAGCTTCATTAGTCATTAGGGAAATCCAAATTTAAGCCAAATGAAAACATCTCTACCACCCACCTGAATGAATAAAAACAGAAAATACTGAGGATTGGAGAGGATGTGAAGTAATCAGAACTCTCATATTCAGCAGATGGGAGTGTAAATGAGAACCATCACTTTGGAAAACTGGCATCTAGTTAAGGTAAACTTATGCATACTTTATGATCCAGCAGTTCCACTCCTGAGTCTATGCCCGAAAGAAATATGCACATATACTGATCAAAAGACCTGTACTGGAATATTATTAGCAGCACTATTTGCTAGCCCCAAACTGGAAAATTTGCAAATGCCCATCACTAACAGAATAAAATTGTGGCATTTTCACACCAGAGACTAATGTCCAACAGTGAGAATTAATAATTTATTCTTACAAACAATGATACAGATCGACCTATAATGTCAATCCCAAGAAGCCAGACACAAATAAGTATCTCCTCTATGATTCAATTGATATAAAGTACAAACAAAGGCAAAACTCATCTCATGAAGGAGTATGTAGCAACTGAAAGGGAACACACAGGGAATTTCTAGGCTACCAGTAATATTTGCTACCTGTCAGTCAGTTGGTCATACTGTAGCTGCTTGTGTGTTGCTATGGATGCTGAAAACTATGGCAACTGATATTTCAAATACCAGCAGGGTCACCCAAGGTGGACAGGTAGAACTTCAGATTAAGACAGACTAGGAAGAAAGACCTGGAAATCAACTTGTGAAAATCAGCCAATGAAAACAGAATATTGTCTGAGATGTCAACTTACTTATTTTGGATGTGCCATCAGGAGGGACCAATTGCTGGAAAAGGACATTATGTTTGATGAAGAGGAGGCCCAGCAAAACCGAGGGGAAATCTCAATAAGGTAGATTGACACAATGGCCGCAACAATGTACTCAACAATTATTCAGTTCAAACAATGAATTCCACAATTGTGAAGATGATTTACAATTGGGCAATGTTTCATTCTGTTATATGTGGGCTCACCATGAGTTAGAGCCAATTCAACAGTAACTATCACCAAACAGCATTAATATCCTGCTTCTCAATCTAGGTGTTGGTTACAGAGGTGGAAGATTCATTGAGCTATAAACACTTATTAAGTATACTCTTCTGAATGTGGGAGCTCTGGTGTCGTAGTGCCTAAGACATTTGACTGCTAACCAGAAGCCTGGTGGTTCAAACCCACCAGCCACTCCTCGGAAGGAAGGTTGGGTAATCTGCTTCCGTAGTGATACTGCCTCAGAAACCCAAGAAGGGGTCACTATGAGTCGGATCTGACTCAATGGCAGTGAGTTTGGTTTTTGGTTTTGTATTTGTACTAAAATTTACCAGTTGCCGCTGAGTTAACTCTAATTCACGGTGACCACATGGTGTCAAAGTTGAAATGTGCTGCTTAGGATTTGCTAATTTTAGTGCAGACTTCCTGGGTGGTGCCAATGGTTAACTCACTCAGCTGCTAAGGTTGGTGGTTCAGCCCACCCAGAAGGACCTTGGAAAAAAGACTTGATGCTATACTTTGGAAAAAATCAGATTGAAAATCCTAAGCAGCACATTTCTTCTCTGATACCATGTGGTCACCAAGAGTTGGAGTCAGTGGCACCTGGTAAATTTTACTGCAAATACAGGTATTTTATAAATGTCGATTGATTATACTTCCTTGAAGACAGGAGACTTTTTGTATAATCATCTCTATACTCGACGAATCTTTTCAACCATTTAGTGCAACATCTTAAGAGTATACTTTTAAAATTACAACTTTTAAAAAAGCAGAAAATGTGTATTGGGTCCTGTATCCCCAGAGCCTAAGCCAGTCTCTGGTTCAGATAAGGAAGGAGGGAAGGAAGACTGCCGTTGAGTCAGAGCCAACTCATAGTGACCCATCCTTGGGTTTCTGAGGTGGTATCACTAGGGAAGTAGATTGCCCAACTTTCCTTCTGAGGAGTGGCTGGTGGGTTTGAACCACCAGCCTTCTAGTTAGCAGTCAAAGCCTTAGGCATTACACAGACAAAGGATATATTTTTAAACTTTTTTATTTTGAAATAATTTCAGATTCCCATGCAATTGTAAGAAATAATACAGAGATCCCATATCCTCCTCACCCAATTTTCTCCAACAGTAACATCTCAAATGATAGTACAATACCACAACCAGGAAGTTGACAATGATACAGTCCACTCTCCTTACTCAGATTTCACCAGTTTTACATGCACTCATTTGTGTGTGTGACCTCTGAGTATTTTTTACATAAATGATTAGAAAGCACTTTCTGCAGATTGATCAAAGTCTAGACATGAAATTGAGGTCAACTCAATTCCCCTCCCCTCATGGCTTTTCCTCCTGTGATGATTCAGTAACACACCCTTATGAGGCTCTAAGGAAAGTAAATCCCTGTTTACCCAATGACTTAGTGACCTTTTATCCATAATAAAGCTTTGCAATCCATGTGATCAGGCAGCGGTAAGATAAAAATGTTCAGTATATGAAGATCTAATCACAATACGTCTCCTGCTGTCCTGATTTAAGCTAGTATGTGTGTGTGTGTGTGTGTTTGTGTGTGTGCATGAGCCCTTGCTAGTTAGCATGCACATATTACATGCTTTACAGGCTTACATTTTAATTCTCACCTCAACTCTGTGAGGAAAGAACTATGTATTATTATCAAGAGGGTCAATCTTCCTTCTGAGGAGTGGCTGGTAGGTTTGAACCACCAGCCTTCTGGTTAGTAGTCAAATGCCTTAGGCACTACGGCACCTAGCTCCTGTTAAGTAGCTTGCCCACCCTCAATTAGTGTTTCTAAGTTCATATTATTTTTGTTACTAAGGAGGCCTAGAGGTGCAATGGTTAAGCACTGAGCTGCTAACTGAAAGGTCGAAAGTTTGAACCCACCAGCTGCTCTGTGGGAGAAAAGACCTGGCAGTCTGCTTCTGTAAAGATTACAGCTTAGGAAACCCAGGAAACAGTTTTGCTCTCAGAAGGAAGGTTGGGCAATCTAGTTCCATAGTGATATGCATCGGAAACCCAAGGAGGGATCGCTATGAGTCGGGTCCGACTCAACGGCAAACAACAACAACAACAAATATAGGGTGGCTATGAGTCACAGTCTACTTGTTATTATTATCATCATCCTTCTCCAAGCACTGCCCCGTTGGAATCTTAGATGAGTGGACTTGAACCCCTCCATATGAAAAGGAAATGCTCAAGATATGTATGCTTGAAGATCATATTACGAACAGTAACTCATGGTGATTTTTTCTCCCCAATCTGAATCATATTGTTTAAAAAATTTCCAAAATCATAACTAACCTCTGATGTTAGGAGTTAGGAGTGGTCATCATGACTGAAAGGGGTTACACGGGGTTACAAGGGTGATTATAGGGCACCAGGAGCATTGTTTCTTGATTTGGGTCCTGGTTACACAGGGGACTCAGTTTATAAAAATGCATCACTTATGATTTAGGTACTTCTCTGTATGTACGTTGTTCTTCAGTCAAAAGTTTACTTAAAAAAAAAAGTCACAAATTCAAAGGCATTCTGTTCCTAATGAAGAATTTTTACTGTTCTGAATACTATAGGCTTCACGGAGGAATGTGTCAACTTTTCCATAAAACCAAAATCTCCCCTCTTTTTGTGTTGAAACATGATTCTTAATTTTTTTATGTTTACACATTTTTTTAAAAAATTATGATTTGGGTGAAGGTGTACAGAGCAAATTGGTTTTCCACTCAACAGTTCATACACATTTTGTTTTGTGACAGTTATAGCAATCCCCACAATGGAACAGTGTTCTTGCCACTTCTTCCCTGGGTTTACCATTTCCTTCTGTCCTTCTTTCCTATCCTTTCCTGCTTTTTGATCTTTATCCTGGGAAATGCTACCCTTTAGATTTCGTATGGTTGACTGTTCTAATGAGTGCATACCTCCCTGGTGTTATTGATCACCTTATAGGCCTGTCTATCATTTGGCTGAAAGTTGAGCTACAGGGTAAGTTTAGTTCTAGGCTTGAAGGGTGTCTAAGGATCACCAGACTCTATCAGATCGGTAAGCCTAAGTTTTTTTTTTTATGATTTTGAATTTGTTCACATTTTTTTCCACTCTATCTGGGACCTCCTGGTGTGATCCACCTTTCATAGTGGTCAACAGTGGCTGCCAGGCACTATCTAGTTTTCCTGGTCTCATGGTTGTGGAGGTTGGGTTCACATTACTCAAATGTTTTTCAAATTGCTTGCACAGTAGCTTTTCTTTCTTTTTTTTTTTTTTACCTTTTTTTTTTTTTTTT